ATGTTCATTTTACAGACAATTCAAGACTTTATATGACACTGGTGTATGGTGGTGGTGTATGCAAATCAGATGCCCTCAAATCCGTAAATTTTTACTAACGAGAGTGATCCGCCTCAGGGAAGTTCGCTACGTTATTTAAGTCATAATGCATTAAAAACTAAAAAATTTAACATATGCTAATATACTTATAACCAGTCATATAATCTATGTTAGTTCCCATTTTCAGGGTCTATTCTAGTCGGTTTTTTTAATTATTATGAATTGTATGCATTTCGATCAATTGGTATATCTGTTGTAGTTCGAATATAATATATATAATGGTGAAATATAAAGATTCGCCAGTAGGGCCGTGATTACAGTCAAATGTAGAATAAAGCTGTAAGTGCTATTTATATAGCTCTGAAAATATACTTCTAACAACTAACGTGGTACATTTCATTTGCGTAGCTTTAGACCTAATAAAACCTGATATTCCATATACCAAATCAAAAACTGGAGGGTAGAAAATTAAAACGTCATTGATATTAATAGTTTCCGTATAAAAATACCAATCAAATTTATTGAACTCAAGAAATCGTCAAAACGACTCTCACTATGAAATATTTCCGTTGGATTTTTTCTACCGGGTGTTTTTTGAGACATGTGGTTTTCAATAAGGCAATACTATATTTGGAGCTAATTTTTTTAACAGCTGTTTTTTTTATTCTAACTCAGTTTGGTTTGCCATTTTATAATAAACAGACTTACTTCGGAACAACGTTTGCAAATCGCTCTCGACTGGAATTTATGCGAGCCAACGAGATAATATTTAAAACATAATGGAAAACTCTTATCGTTATAAAAAAGTTAAATTCCTGCCCACAACATTCATTTATATGCGTTTTATTTCTTTTTGAAAACCACATGTCTAAAAAAATACCGTTGATAAGGTTCAGAAATCATTTTAGAGAACTTTCCAATATCAAAAAAGTTGGAACAAGTAGAGGTTTAACAAAGAGTGTCGATATATTCTTATGCTTACACCTACTTTACTTCTTAATTGAATTGCAGCTTTTTTGTCCGTCTTTTGTTTGTCACAAATTAATTACAAAAATGTCACACAATTAATTCACCAGCGCCGAGCAGAGCACACCTCAAGAGCTATTTATCGCCTTCACCGCTCTGCTTCTCAGATACTTCAGTGGTCACAATACTTTTTCTAATTTTGCGCTGCTTTTGCGAAAATTGCGAAATGCAAATTAAACATTTAATCTGCGCAGCGATTTTGTGCGAAGTGCACTTCATTAAAAGCCAACCAACAAGCTTCCGTTGCTGACGTTTCCGCTTCCGAGGGCCAAAGGTGATCAGCATAGAAAACAAATTGAAATAACTCACACCTAAAAGTGAGATGTGAGCAACGAGTGCTCCCACAGCTAATGCATTTACGTAACCCGCATTAGCAGCGAGGGCGGCGACTAAACGGCGGACTTTGTGTATTGGCGTTAGCTAACCGCATTTGTCCAGCTGTCTTTTTAATTTTAATCAATTTATCTTAATATCGTTTGAAGTGCACATTAACCTAATGGATACACAGGCAAATAGCGGAGGAAGTAAAATAAGCAAACGGAAAAACAAAAAAGCACGATATCTGTGCGTTGGTTGGAGGCGAATTGAAACCCTGCGACTATAAGGTGAGTGGAGAGGGAAGTGAAGAACGCTACAATAGCTTATAAACCAATATTAAAATGTTATACAAAAGCTCAGACCATTCGTCATGTGCAAATGCGTGCAAGCTAAGCAGGAATCAGAGTCCGTGTCTAGTGCTGTTATAGACGGCAAATACACAAATCTATGTTCGAATGAGCGAACGACGAGTATGGGCGCTAGGAGGCGTGGCGCTACCATAAGCAACATGATTGCACTCTTCATGTTTGGTCTTGCGGTTATGCTCCCCCGAGCGCTGGTGTCAGCTTACCCAATTCGAAGAGCTGCCTTACATCATACAAGTACAGCATCTTCTCAGTGCGCTTATCGAAGACAACATGGCAAATAAAGGTCGTGTATGAGGTGCAACGAGCTGTGGTGGCCTTTGCCAGCGCAATAAGGATGTCGACATTAACCAAAGTACGAGTGGCAAATGGACAGCTAAATACTTAGCTTCAAATACATTTCCTCAACAAGCGTGGAGTTTCCTAGAATGCACTGGCGAAGACGTTGCGTGCGGGTTGAAATGAGTGGCACATTGTGGAGCAAAGGTGATGCTTCATTTTCACATTTCTCATTTATCTCGTTTAGTGCTTGGGCTAAAGATGAATGCTCTACACTTTGTTTAACTAGAGGCCAACATCATCTTAGCTTGTCTACGATTACTTGTCCAGCCAGCTGACTGGCTGACGGCTCGACAGACAAGTGGACTGGCTGATGACCCAGCAGACAAATAGACTAGCTGACGATCGGGCGCTATTGAATTTTGGGTTGAGTCACTCGTCTGCAAGAAGGGGGCAGATAACATTGTGAAATTATTTGTTGCTTCAGCAAATTATGGGGTTGAAGGTGCTTCAAATTGATGTTAAATGTTTTATGCAACAACGAGTGAAGTTGGCAGAAAAACGGTTGCACACACAGCTCGGCATAGCATTACACACTGAAATGGCAATGGAGCTTTTGGAATTTGTTTATTAATGATTTCGAACCGGCAAGCGACCATACGACCCACACCAGCCGACCAACGAACTGGCTTGCCAGTGCTCTTTAGTCGGTTCACCGTTGGCGGCAAATGATGGAATACGCATTACGTTCTTCCCTCTTTCCGCTCGCTAATGTGTGTGTGTGCGTATGTGGTGTGGGCGAGTTTGAAAAATAGCCAAAGCAAATGATACCCAAGACTCATTATAATCAAATGAGAATTGATGTGTACGGTGTTGATGAGCAATGAACGGCCAAGCGGGCGCATAATGGAAATTGGTTTGATGGTTTGAGTAAAAGCAATGCCGAAACTTGTGCACTGTGTTAGCACGGTTATGTTTCGTACTGCGCTCACGCCCTTTCCGCTGTCAAGTCCAATCAAAAGTTCAAAATTTCAAAAATATAACCAGAAATAATAATAAAATGTCAGCTTTGCTCATTTTCCTCGTATTACGCTCTCAAATATGCTTTTCTTTCACAACTTTCGTTTGTAATTTGCTTGCGAAGTGGGTGATTATGCGGTAACACGATTGTACTTCATAGTTTGATTGATTACAGCGTGTACATTCGGATTTTAAAAACTGTGAAATTTACTCAAAAATGTGTTAAAGCATTACTTCAACGCGATTTCTACGAAAAAAAAAGCAAATTAAGTGCTCTTGTACTTTATTTTGACAAAATTTACTGCTTACGCGGTTATTAAGATTAATTATGTGACAACTCTTGAAATATTTTAGTTAAAAATTATGATAGATGTGTTTAATATAGCAGTAAACGGTGTGATCTGTAGGTATCTGTTCTTTGAAAATAAATAAATTCTGGATTTTATGAAGAAATTTTTTAGACTTGTGAGGATTTTTCTTATATATTAAACGTTGAATTTACGTTGGAGTTTTCAACGGTCAATCTGCCAGACTCACTCAGCTGAAAAGTCCTGACTAAAATTGTTTAAATGCTTGATAACGCTAAGAGTGACACTCACTATACCTTCACACTCAATTAAGCAGAACCATTTACTTTACCTATTTCTTAAAGAGCGGCAATCCCAGAGAAATGATCTTGATCGTACACAAAAATGCTTCTGCGACTATATGCATCTAAGTTTTGAACCACATTTCGCAACCCGACTCTCCAACATGCTACCGTTTCCGATCAGTTAAATATAACTTTGATAACATGTTGCCATTTTGAAGGTAATTTCTAAGCGCCACTCTCATAGAAACCCTGGTACCTGGCCTGGCCTTGATCTAATTGAATATAAATAATCTCCTATTAGACAAAGCTGGCCGCTCCTGAGCAATTGCTGCCTTCACACAGCTCATAGTAGATGATTCCCTGCCAATCCCACCAAACACATAGCAAACCCTTCCTGAAGATTAATACTGACTTAGCGACCGTTTGCGCCGGCTGACCGCAATGCGACCAAAACCATTTTCGCTTTACGTTGTTGTAAGTGACTCATCTTTCATCCCCTGCTATGAAGTATTAAGACTATTCGTGTTTTTAGCCAACTGGCTTGCATTTTTGGCTTTATCTCAGAAAAACTGAAAAATATGGCATATTTTCTCTATGCTGGTGTTCATATTTGGCTCGTGTTCAAACAGTACTGTGTCAAGCATTCACAAAACTGTCTGAGAAGTTTGCTTAATGCGAAAATTTTATCTCTCTAACACCATGTAGCATAACCAGCACTAATATAACGCAAGTTACAGTTTAGTAAAACCATTTATTGCAAAAAGATTGGATTTCAGTTAATAGACTTATTATGTTGGCAATTCCGTTTTCATATACATTTTTTTCTCTTTCGTAATTAATTAATTTTTGTCTTAACAATGGCTCTACTTAAAAATTTTAGGTTAATGTTTTCATATTTAATTAAGTCGTTATCGAATTTGGCTTAAGTAAAGGAGCAAAATTGATTTTCCAAAAATGTTTTCTCGCCAGCGCCATCTATAGGATATTCTTGTTTTATTTCATATGTTTCGACAGCTAAATTTCAGTTAATGTTAGCGTTCGTGGTGAGCGTTACAGTTGAATTAATTACCGCTTTACAACTACACGTCTCAATATCAATGGTATGAGTACCAAGAAATGCTAGCCAGACAAGGGCTCAAGGCTCTAAAAACCATCATTTGTTATTATTGTGACGAACTATTGGTGACCGAGTCATATAAAGCAATATTAGTTTTCTACCTAACCTGGCCCATGCTATTATGTTTTAAATGCCATAATATCTGGGAAACTCCTGTTTATAAAATTTCATCCTCTCACTCTATAATACTCGAGTTTCTTCATTCCTCTTTTTTTGTAAATTAACTTAGTTTAAGACATACAAATTTAATTGTTTAAATAATTGTTTGAAAACTATTTATTAGTTATTTCTCAACAAATCTCTTCCTTATCCCCTTTTAACATCGATACATTCTAAATCCTTTTGTGTATTAATCCTTTCTCCATTTCCACCAATGCTAAAAAAACACTTTCCCTTGCTATTTACTTTCGCAATTATATTCCGCCCTTTTGACATGCTCTCTTACAACTAATTAATTCCACAAATACCTGCAACGATTATATTATTGTATTTTAAGCGTAAATTGCAATTAAGAAAATTACCTTCAGCACCTGTGAAGAACCCATTCACAATTTCAGCATTTCAACGGCGAACAAAAGACCTTGAAGACACACTAATTCAGTTGATTTTTTACGTTTTCACGACTGCAATGCAGCTCTGCTGAAATTTTAATATCCTCCTTTGCGCTGTCCTCTGGGTGGCAGCACTTTTTACTGTCATTTCTTATTGTCTAAGGCACTTTGCCACTTCAAATAAGAAATTTGCATAAATCCTTGCACAACGCCCTAACCCTGCTTTATTGTGTAGAATAGTGAAAATTTAAAACAATTGTCTTGGAATTCTATTTTGCACAGTTACCTGGTCTTTCTAGCGCCTTGTTTCGCCGTTCGCTCCCGTATACTTAGATGTTTGATAAGAAAAGTAAACTTTTGGCGCAGATTTCACTTTGACGCTTTTAAACGCATCGAGGTTTACCTAACCATTTTCGCTTTCTTTGTTTTATTTAGTTAATTTTTTATTTATTTTCTAAGACGTTAATGTATGTGCTTGCCAGGTTTATGGGGTGTCCAAAGTGAACAGTGTTTTGTTTTTTAACTATGAGGAAAACAATTAAAATGAATTAGTTAATCTGATCAATTATATTTCCCGTAGATTCCCAAGCTCAGCAGATTGCCGAAATTCTGTTGGTCGTGGAAGTCTTAGTCAATGCTTTACTTCTTTTAATTTGGTTCACAACACCGCTACCAGAACTTCACTCAATTTGTTCTTGCTTTCAAATAAAAACTGCTTGAAAAGAGAGCAGCGTACATAGTTAGCGAGCAGCTAAATGGTGAATCGAACACGGCTGTTGTCTACGTATCATTTTTTTCATAACAGAAAAAGAAAATCAAACAAATAAGAAAGCGCTAAGTTCGGGTGTAACCGAATATTTCATATCTTGCAACTTGTAAGGATCAAAGTCGGAAAAGCCGAAATAGAGGCTCATTAAGAGACCTTAAATATTTACCTATATATAAGTTATAAAGTCAAGCAGGTACTTGAATATCCGTATATTCAGTATATGGGGACTAAAGGAAATATATTCTTTATTTCAATAATTTTAGACGAGAGGATACACTCTTATTAAAAAGAGACTCTTTCTGAATTTCATTAAGATCTTTTACATATTGACCGATAGATGCGGTATATAGTCAACCAGAAGTTCGAATATATTTATATTAAGTATATGGGGGTTAACGGACCCGATTTTACTCATTTTCTGCACAAGGACATATCCTTGCCGAATTTCAATACTTGACCTTATAGATTAATTGATATATTCTGTAAAAAAATCAAAAATATGCACTGGCCTCCACATATCCGTTCTCTGGATCCATGAAAGTTTATAAACCGATTTCGAGAATTTTTGGGCGTGAAATGAAATACATTAAGAGCACTATTTTTGTAAAGTTTTAAACCGATACATTTATTGATGTAACATTTGTGTACTGTAAAGTGCAAGAATCAGATAGCAATTCCATTTTTAAAGTTTGTTTTATAGTAATAGGCGTGGTTGTCATTCGATTTCGCCTAATTCCATAGTGTATAAAAGGAAAGTTTGGGTAACCTTGTGCACCAATATTGGTCGTATTGGTGAAGAAGTTCCTTAGATATAAGATTTTATCTAAAGGTGGGCGGTACCATGCCCCTTATTCAACTAAATATTAAGCCCTTCCTTAACTACTGTGCCACTTTTATTCAGTGAGTTATCGTAGCTTTAGCAGTTTTCAGCATAACCATTATATGGGGAGTGACCGTTGGTATTATCTGATATCATACATACAAGTATTTTGACAGCACATAAAGAAGTGCTTAAAGTATTTTTTCTCAGCAAGTTTGGTTACTTGAGCTTAAGTGGTTTGGAAGATAGGTTGGCGAGTCCACGTCCACTTTTAAAAACTTTTTAGTCCAGTGGTGGCCTCGCTACTGCCATACCCTGTACCAAATTACAATTTCGTATCTTATTTTGATATATATATATTCAAGAGTGTAAAAACTTTAAACGGAATGGTTAATGGATTATAGAAGCAGGCCTGAATTTCTTAAAAGATAACAGAATTTTAGATTTTCGTCTTTCAGTGAGTGCTAGTTGCACCCTCAAACCACTAGGCTTCTTCTTATTGTGTCACATTAAATCGAAGCGTTCTCATATCTTTAAAATTTTAAGGATTAATAAGAGCATTTTCGGTATGAAATGTGTTTGACTATACATTTATTTAACTGTAAATATTTTATTAAATTAAATTGGCAACTGGTAAACTAAACACAGTGGCTGCCCTGACTGAATGCTCGACTCCCCTCCAGGTGTGACAAAGTACACACAGACGCTAATATAGTTTGTTCAAACGAGTGCTGATTATATGCGCGACTGTCCGTCTTGTGGCACAAAACAACAGTAGCTTGTGATTTTCGCAAACATCTTACACAAACGGCGACCGCCAGCGAAGATGCGTCGTAGTCAAAGTGAGGCTGCTCGTCTAAGCGCAAAATTTTGTTATTTTAAAGGATTTGCCACTTTGTTGCAGCAGCTGCTGTTACCGTTACTCTGCTTTTTGCGCTACACAATATCGCCTTAAACATGCAACGTGCTTTGTCTCTTCAACGATGGACTTGTGGCGACCAGCTTTTGTCTTTAGCATTGCGCAAAATTGTATCTGAATTTAGTTGAAAGGGAGAAGATGGAAAGTAATGTAAGCGAAGAAAAGCGAAAATCAACGAAAAATGCAATTCAATTTGTTCACAAGACGTGAAGAGCAACGACCATTTGCCGCTCGAAGAATATTTAAAAAGAAGTTAACACTCAAGTTGAAGGACAATGCAAATCCGCTTTGTCGCTGTGAAGACGACATAGACTGCTGGCCGAAAGCAAGCAAGTAAGGAGATAACACGACGAACGAACGATAAGATGCAATCAATTGGAAAGTAGAAATGAAAACAAACTGAATGGTAAAATTACAAAATATCGCACGGGTATGAAGAGGTGAAAATTTCGCCGACAGCAAAGGGCAACTCAACGTGAGGATAGTCGAAATTTTATTATGCGCAAATGGGTGAATTAAGTGAAACTTGAAAGTGTTCGATGACATCTTAAGCAAAAAAAAAAAAAACGGCAATAATTGTCTACGTACTTTTAGCAGCGAATGTTGGACAACGAAAAAAGAGTGAAGGTTAAGCGATAAGTGTTGATTGGGTGTGGTCGAATATCCTGTCATTGAATGTACTTGATGCTGAAATTATTTTACCTTTTCACTTTTTATTAAACACTTGAGTAGTGCAATGGTACGCTAAGTATCTTCTAAGAAATCAAGTATCTATTGTTTTGCAAGCAGAGATTCTTTGGAAAAGTTAACTTTTTGTTATAAAAAAAAAGCTCTGAGTGAGTTTAAATATTTGAATTGGAGAGTACCCAGCAGCATTGCCAATCGACTTCGGTGCTTTTACTGTCTGCATTGTTGGCACATCATTAAGATGAGTGCCACAAATCCATATCGCTTGGACAGTTAAGGCGAAATGTTGAGGGCCAGTATTAACGACGTACGACGTAAGGTTGTTGTAATACCTTTTGAGAGCTTTTGCGCCATTCGCAGATAATATAGTTGTTATTAAGGATTTCAGTTCTGAATGAGATATAACATACTATGTCCCAGAATCACGAATAATTTCTTGTCTAATAAATTATTTTTCCATAGAGGCAATTTTACTCAAATAATTGTTTGAGAAGAATAATAAAAAATTATATTAAGTAACATGATAATAACATCAGACTTAACGGTACCATCTAGCAAAATGTCCATATTTTCTGTGACGTGACATTCATTTTCGGTACGTTCCGTAGCATATCCACGTGTGCAATAAAATCTCTTTCACTTCTATTGTAGGTAGGATAGGTGATACTTCGATAGGAAAATTTGGGCTCGGTTAGTAACGGGTCATATAGCTGTGAGTTCGTTATGACCTTAAAAACTTCATTGGAAAATATATGTATTGCATAGAACCTCTCATTAGCTCTTTCTGATTTCTCTTTATCAGTTTATCGATGACTGGAAAAAATAGGGTTGAAAGAATTATGTCTTTGAGAGATATTATACGAAATGACGATACTTGTACTTTTGAATTTTCCAATCACTGCAATATATTCTTAAAGCAAATAAAAAAAACTATTTTTATATCGAGCAATTTAATTTTCAAACCTGTTGATATATCGAGTAATCGTGGCTTATATTACCTTTGTAGTAGAGATCAATGGAGCAGATCTAATGTGGCAGCAAAATTTAGACGCTTACTTCTGCTTAAGATTTGACAAGACAAACCCTAAGTGTTACAGGCGATAAATGTGATGATATTACAAAGTTTACACTAGAAAAAAGTTTTTGGGTGGCAACTGCTACTTTTTGTGACTATTGGATTGAGGATGATGTGAGTATTCAACTTAAGACTTCATACACAGTTATACAGTTATAATGCAAAATTATTTAGAAACAAAAACTTTCTTCTCTTCAATTTAAAGTGAGCTGTGAACTATCTGACAAGCTTAAGCAACAGTTCTCAATGCTTTTAGTATTCGGTATAAGAAGTACCGTCATCTCGGTTCTCAACTTCTTACCACCTTATATCTATAGCATTGGTTTCAGTGATGTCAACATGGAATATACCTTCTGCTCAACGCAAAACGAGACTTTATCCATAACTCGACAAGGACATGACATATGGTCATACTTTTTTGTGCTTAGGTTGTCAGGACTGTTATATGTTTACGTGTCAAATTTGAGCGCGATCTCTCACATAGTTTTTTTTAAGGCACTATAAACAAGTCAACCTCGAGTGTGTTTTTCGAATTTTACTATGGAAATTAACGTTGAGCAAAAAGTGTTTGTTTGAAATTTTGTTATTCCAATGGAATAAGTGCGACGGACGCAATGAAAATGTTGCAGAAGGCATATGGGGAGTCTTCCCTATCACGTGCACGTATTTTTGATTGGTATAAGTCGTTCAAGAACGGCCGTACATCGCTGGAGAGCTTGCCCCATGATCGTCGTCCAGCAACGTCAATAAACGAAGAAAACGTCGAATAAGTAAAGAAAATTGTGTTGGAAAATCGTCGTGTGACTGAAAGAGAGATAGCTAGTGAGCTCAACATATCAAATGGATCCGCTCATAGCATTATTCACGATGTTTTGGGCATGAGACGTGTGTCTGCTCGACTTGTTCCAAAATCCAGCTCATACGTCTCGTCTTGTACGCGATTATTTGACCAAAAACAACGTAAATATTGTTCCGCAAGCACCGTATTCACCCGACCGTGTGACTTTTTTCTTTTCCCTAAACTCAAATTGCCGCTTCGTGGAAAGCATTTTCAGTCGATTGAAGTCATAAAAGAGAATTCGAAGAAGGAATTGAAAGCCATACCTAAAGCGGCCTATCAGAAGTGTTAGGAAGATTGGAAAAAAAGGTGGCATATGTGTATCGCCTCTAATGGTGACTATTTTGAAGGGGATAAAATAAATATTGAAGAATAATTAACCGTTT